AGAAATCTGAGTTCCAGCGACCCTCCTGTCTCAACCCGATGGTTAATGTGACGGAGTAAACATTATCTTTTGTGGAAACTACTTGCTACGTCATAATCTTATATTCTTGCCCATTTGTTGGCCCTAATGACCATAAATTGGTCCGTTGTTTTGACCGGTACCTTTCGGTAGCCGGGCCCTAGCTTCAGGGTATTTCACCTTGTCTTGCTCATACCGTGGCATTCTGCCATTCTTTATTATACTTACGTCTAATTTTAACTGAATTTTCCCACATGCTCGATCTTTTAGGCAGTTGAAGTCGAGGCATCGCGATTAGTATAGAATATCGAATAGATTACCTTTACAATTCTCCCCTTTTCCGAAAGGGATTACCCAACAATTGCACGTGTTGATTACGATTATCCATCATGGTAAACACAAACGCAGGTGTACTGCAGTTGGGTGCCAAAGTCGTTGGGTGTATGAAAATTGCATTTTTTGTGCTATTTGGGTAGTAGTTAATTCTCTGTTTTCTACAATATAACTTGCCGATTTGTTGGTCTATTTTCTGTTAATCTCTTGCGATCGCATTTCTGTCTAGCGATCCCTCCCATTTCCATACTTTGGTTATTTCAGTGATCTGTTTATCTCGGATTGTGTGGTTTGTTACACCTTTCAGACTCGTTAACATTGATGTGCGACGATTCGTGTAAGCTTATGAGCACTCACTTTCTCGTTTGCCGTAATGATCACCATGACGATAATTCATTCCCAGACTTGTTGCTTACTGGGCTGGAACGGTGCTTGGATGCGTTGATTGCATGTTCCTTTGTTTCATAGTGAATCTCGCGCGCGCATGTGGTGCTACAACCCGTTGCAGTTTAAGACAGCTCTCAACAACAACAACATGGTGCATGCTTTAACATAGCACTTGGTGTCTTGCTCTGTTTGATAACTCACCTGCGTATTGTTTTTTTGCAGGGGATGGCAAGGCTCGCTCTAAACACCAGAATGCCTGTGGAACTATGTACTTCACTGCCTCAAGTGAGCTGAAGAATGCAATCACGGAAAATGATGCTCATACGTCACCACCTAAATCACCAAATTCGACCGAAAATACTCCAAACGGTTCACCCACCTTCTTCACTCCTCAGATTTCGCCCTCTAAACTAAGTCTTGTCCGACATGATACCGATCTGGGTCAACGACGCAGGCCAAAGAAAACCAATCTTACGTCTAGGCACTCGTTTCTTTCCGGACATGGTTCAGACGCAACTATCTATTCTCGTTTGTCATATGATTTTTCCAGTCTAGACAAGGAAGCCATTCGTGAGCATGGCATTCGTATTCGGCAATTGACTCCGAGTACCAACAAAACTGATAAACCACCTGGTCTTCCTGTTAGTCCCAAACACCCACCTCTTCCTCCTCAACGAAAGTCCAGCTTGCTCCGGTCAAACGACAACAACAACGTCGCTGCTTCTGCCGAGTGTAGTCCAAAACACGCGGAATTCGGATTTGCTAGTGTCATGCAAAACACGGAGGCGTTTGTAAAATCTAAACCAAAGTATGGTAAACGTTCCCCCATCTCCCCCATGTCCCCTGTTCCACTTACCTCGATGCTCGTCGGACCACGGGGCCGATTGCCGTACACAGCAAGTGAACTTCCTGAGCGAGTGTCCTTATTCAACATGAATGAATTTGGACTCCAGGCTGGTGTGGTAAGTATGTTTATTAATGGACTTATTACATTTCCACTTGCGTTCCTCGCCACTTTTACTCTCCACAGCTGACAATATACAGTCTGTGGTATTAAACTTTTAAACCCTATGTTGCCAGATCTGAGATATTTCTCTGTATAATCGTGAGCAGGTTGATTGTGAACAAGTTTACCCTCTCCCAGCTCGACACCGCGCCCATTCCATTGGGGTCATAAGTGGTTTCGCACTCCAAAACCTGGAGCTTAGTTTGCCGGTTACAATGTCCAGTCATTCACATACAACTTATCATGAAATATTCTACCAAGACCATCAGGTCACGTTTGTTGCGATTAGAAGCATCTAACCCACTTACAAAACATCGAATCATAGCATTGATTTTTCATTGGACTGGCTCTGAAAGAGCTGTCTACCCAATGGTTACCCGGTGTTGCAAACAAGGTTATTGTGACGAAAATACACTTCCTGGTTACAAGTATATGAATGAACTGACAAAAGATTACCGGATGCGCATGCCTGACAAGCGGCAAGAACCGCGAAGTCGGTCGTATGCTTCCAGGGAAATTTCGTCCAGTCATTTACATACTACTTATAATGAAATATATATATCCTTTTCAAAATATTATATAT